CAGGGGAATCCGAAGTCTCTACGTATGTAGAGGCAAAGAGGGCTCTTCAGGAGGACAACAGATGGCCCTTCATGGTGGAGATATCAGACGTTAAGAGTGATCAAGTCACCTGCGCCGGAAACAAAAAGGCATACCCTATGAGCTCCTACAGCTACCTCGATTTCATTAGAGAACCAGAAGTACGTCTTCAGCAGCAGTTCTCCCCGTACTCTTCAGGAGCATCCACTAGTGGCGTTAGTAGCACCTATCAAGCTTGTTTTTCGCAGCACTTTTTCAAGTTTGTTATGTGCACTTTGGTCAAACATAAAGAATCACTGTTATTGGCCATGGAGGAGCGTTATTTTTTTGTCTTTTCTTCAATGTATTGCTCCTGGAACACCACATGGCTCCTGCGTGCGTCTCTGTTTGAGAGACAAGGGCTCAGCTACCCGTTTGATGCTATTTGCTATTCTTGTCGGTGTCTCTTGTGCCTGTGTTATCTATGTGTATCTGTCTGTCTCTGTCTGTCTCTCTGTCTACCTGCTTGGCTTTCTGTGTTTGCCTGTCTGGCTGTGTTCGTGCGTCTATGCTTGGTTGGTTGTCTTTGACTTGCGTCTTTACTGTCTTGTTTTGATTGTGCGTGCAGGTCCAGGAGGCGGCGATAGCAGCCGCTCGCCAGTGGTCCACTGGTTCCCACGGTGCGCGTATGTTAGGTGGGAACTCAACGATTCTGAGGGATTTAGAGAGAGCAGTTGCGCGTTATTACGGCAGGGACGACGCGTTGCTGTGTGCAACGGGTTTCTTAGCGACGATGAGTGCAGTGGCTGCGGTTTCTAAGAAGGGCGACTTGATTGTAGCAGACAGCCGGTCTCACGCCTCTCTCCGCACGGGCATGTGCATCAGCGGCGCGCGGTATCTCTTTTTCAAACACAACAACTACTCGCACCTGAAGCGGCTGCTCCAGAAGGAGCGCAGCAAGGCAAGAAACTGCTGGATCGTGATAGAAAGCGTGTACTCGATGGAAGGAGATATAGCAGATCTGCCTGTTGTGCGTTCTCTTGCGGATGCCTTCAACGCAAAAATAATCTGTGACGAGGCACACGGCTTAGGGATATTGGGGGCGACGGGTCGGGGCCTAGAGGAGTACTACAACATGCCTGGTGCTTGCGAGGTGTTGTGCGGTACCTTCTCAAAGTCTATCGGGGGTGTAGGCGGCTTCATCACCTGCAAGAAGCCCCTCGTCGACTTCATGGATTTCCACGCCCCCGGCTCAGTCTTCTCTGCCTCGCTAACTGCCTATTCCGCAGGGGGGGCCCTCAAGGCATTCGAGCTTATGACTGGTGCGCAGCAGTGGCGCATTAAGAAAGCACAGGAAAATGCGCGTTACTTGCGGCATTTGATTGAGACAGGAGACGGGCACTGGCCTGCAGATTACCCTGAAGAACTCAAATACGAAGTTGAAGGCATGCCTTGCACAACTGTCATTCCGGTCGTCTTTCCTAATAGCCCCCAACGCATGTTCCGCATCACAACCTGTCTCCTAGACAAGGGCTTCTACTGCGCAGCCGCTGCCTTCCCCGCATGCCCCCTCCTTCGACCCAGAATCCGCATCACTGCAACTGCGGCCTACTCCAAGGAACTCATGCATGCGTTTGTCAGGGCGCTCGTGCAAACCACTGTCGAGATGCTCCCAGACGATCAACACAGCAAAAAGACGCAACAGCGCATGCACGCGACGACCGCCAAGGCGGACTGAATTGAATTAATGAATTAATGGGTGCTGCAGGCAGGCCTTTTCAATATAAAGTTATTATTGATTTGCGTACATTTATTGCGCATATATTTAGCTGCAAATGCTCATTTACGATATAGTGCGGTGTTCTTCCGGGAGCAAATGATTCCCGTTTACTTATCTCAGCTGCGGGAAGCGCAGATATGTTGGTTTTGTTGTATATTGGTGGCACCGGCAGGTTTGGGGTGTACGTACACTGCGAACTTGTCTGATTCATAGACTTGGCTTCTGCGGTGTGAGGCGGGTAGGGCTGAGAGAGTAGATGATGGTTTATAGCGCCGGGACATCGCAGTGGAGCTGCTGTTTTATATTTATTGTTTATTCTTTAAAAGAAGCGAAAAGGAGCTTCGAACGAAGACGGACGGGGTGAACGAACAGAAAGGGCATTTTGTTATTCCAGCCTGCGTTGGGGTGCATCTCCACAATGCAGGACCAGAACGAGAAAGCTTCATTGCCCAGGCCTCGCCGTTTGCGTACGGATTCTTGCAATCCGTACACGATTGAACAGACGCCGAGGCTCCATGCTGAACAGTAGTAACCACTCCAGCAGCCCCTTCCCCTCTTCTTTCCAGCACTCCTTAGGCCTAGAAGGACTCGGGGGGTTGTTGTTCAGAGGGCGACGGCACAGGGGCAGCTACGCGCGAAGGTGTCTTCGTTGGCGTGGGTTGTTGGGGGCCAGTAATTTAATTTCGTCTGTTTTGTTTAAACTGATTCTACATATATATATGTAATATGTTTATCTACGGACCCAGCAGATACGACCAACGCTTCGACCTTCCTGCCTAATATACATCATAAACTTTAAGTTGGTTTCTCTGAGTGTCCCCTGCACCTTTTGCCGAAGGCTCGGGTGTACGAACACCCGGAGTTCGTCGTCTTTCTTGCGTTCTGTTACATGCAGCATCCCTTATGTCGGTTATGTTGCTGTTGGGCTGTGCTGTACTTTGTTTTGCCGAGCCCTGAGGACGCCGGGAAGTCCGAAGGAGAACGAACGGCGCAATTTGTAAGTAATGCCGCCACCTCCTTTATTCGACCTGGAATGCCCGCGGAGTCCATAACCCCACCCCCGCAACACCCGACGGTAACCTCTGAACAACTAGCCATGAACTTCAAAATATGCAAAGTTCAAAAGAAACAACGGCTGTGTGCGTGCATGCATGCATGGACTTGCAACACGCAGCGGGCGGCACAGCACACCAGAGAAGAAAAGATACGCATTTATATACAGTTGCATATATAATATATATATGTATAAATGTATATAAACAATCTGTCTACAGGAACCAGCCGCAATCCTTAAGGTGATGCCGCTGCCGTTGCGTGCTTTAAGACGGAGTCGAACGTCTTTGTATGATCTCGCATTGCATTCTCACTTCCCCAACGGCATCCTAATTAGGGTATATACGTGGCAGTTGCAGCTGCTTATTCAAATGAACGATTTAGAACATTTACTCGCATGCAACATTCATCGTCCGCTTCTCAGACACTGGCGGGATTGTCGATATCCTCTTCCTCTCTTCTTCCTATGACACTCGCCAGCACCGCAGCAGCAAACCCTCTTCTACTGCAAATTCCCACTGGTAGCCTGTACATGCGTACACCACAGCGTAGACAGAGTATGCAATAACAAAGAAATAGCCTGAACGGCCATTCAGAATAAGAAGTGATAAAGGGGAGACCATCGTGTTACAGAGGCATTCCCTCCTTTAAGGACGTTTCAATGTCTGCTCTGACTGGCTATCTACTTAACGGTCATTCGCAGCATTTCCTAAGGCTCGGGGCTTCGCCGCGTGTGCAT